GCTCAGAAACCCCAGGAATGTCTCTGCCCCACCTCCAGGCCATTTTACCCTTAGATGTGCATACAGCCTTGGGTCCTCTGCTGGGAGCTGGACCAGATGACTGGCTCTCTCTTTTTTTAAAAATTTTATTATTTTTGTGTGCGTGTACCATCAAATCAGATCTGACTGGTACAGGAGGAGATTGTCCCTCCTTCCCCCGCAGAGCATCTGGTGGATTCGAACCATTTGGCTCTGGGATTGTAGTTGCAGCTCCTTGCCACTAGGCCACCAGAGCTCCCCTATGACTGGCTCTCTTGTCAATCCGTACTGATCCTGATTACCAAGGGCAAGTATTGGTAGCAGAAGCTGTAGTTGTTAAGCGCTGTCCAGTTGAGTACAATTCACAGCGGCCCTGTGAACAACAGATCTGAACCCTGTCCTATCGGAGCAGTCACTGTGTCAATCCACCTGCTTCAGGGGCTTCCTGTCTCTCACAGACCCTCTGCCTTTCCAATCATGATGTCCCTCTCCAAGGGACAGCCTCTCTTAGCAACATGTCCAAAGTATGGGAGACAAAGCTTCATCATCTTTCCCTCCAAGGAGCACTCTCTGGCTGCACCTTCTCCAAGACGTATTTGTTTGTTCTTTTGGCCGTCCGTGGGATGTTTAGTGCTATTCTCTAACACCACAGCTCAAAGGCATCAACGCTTCTTCATCAACCTTATTCATTGTTCAGCTCTCAGATGCATAATAAGTGATCAGAAGGACCATGGTCTGAATCTGACACTCCTTAGTTCTCAAGATAACATCATTGCTCTTCAACAATTTGTAGAAGTCCTTGACTGTAGGCTTTCCCAGTGCAATGCATCTCCTGATTTCCTGACAGCTGGTTGATTGTGGATTCCAGTAAGATGAAGTTGTTGACAGTTTGAATCTTTTCTCCATCTATCACGATGTTGCCCATAGGTCCACTGGTAAGAATTTTTGTTTTCTTGACATTGAGATGCAATCCATATTGAAGGCTGTATTCTTTGATCTTCTGCAACAAGTGCTTCAAGTCCTCATTTTCAGAAACCAAGGCTGTGTCATCTGTGTAATGAGGTTATTGATGAGTCTTCCTCCAATCTTTATGCCACATTCTTATTTATAGAGTCCAGCTTCTCAAATTATTTTCTCAGTGTACAGATTGGATAGATGTGGAGAGAATAAACAGCCCTGATACACTCCCTTCTGAATTTTAAACCATGCGCTGTTCCCCTGCTCTGTTTGCACAGCAGCCTCTTGGTCCAGGTATAAGTTTCATGCTACAGTTAAGTGCTCTGGGACTCCCGACCTTCACAGTGTTAGTTACAATCCACACAGTCAAAAGCCTTTTTATAGTCAATAAAGCATAAATAGACCCTCTTCTGGTATTCTTTACTTTAAGAATCCATCTGAGACCCTCAACCATATGATTTGACCCGGTGACTACCACAATAGGTGTAGGCATGGTAGAGATTGTGAAGAGGACATAGTCTAAGACAACGTTTCAATCTATTGTTTATAGGATCACTGTAGTTTGTAGATAATATGATAACACCTGACAACAACCCAATACTCTCTTTAAAGCAACTTTTACATATAATCATGAACAATGTTGAAAAAAGAGAACATAGTTAAGATGCTTCCAACCACAAATAAAAGTAAATTGGATTACTTTTAAGAAAAAGTTACTTTTAATTAATAAAATTCATTTGCAATATATTAAAAAAAGAATCCATCTAACATCAGAAATTATATTCTTGGTGACATAGCCTCTTCTAAACTCTGCTTGAACTTCTGGAAGTTCCCTATCTATGTACTGTTCTAGCCAGTTTTGAATGATCCTCAGTGATATTTTGCTTGCATATGATATTAATGATATTGTTCAATAGTTTCCATATTCTGTTGTATAACCTTTCTTGGTAATGGGAACAAATATGGATCTCTTCCAATCTGTTGGCCAGAGAGCTGTCCTCCAAATTTCCTGGCATAGACTGGTGAGCGCATCCAGGGCTGCATCTATTAATTGAAACAAGTCAATTAGTATCCCATCAATTCCTAGGGCCTTATTTTTTTTTTAAGCCAGTCAACTTCAGCAGTGGGGGCTTTATTTTCTACCAATGCCTTCAGTGCAGCTTCAGCTTCCTCCTTTATTACCATTGGCTCCTGCTTGTATGGTACTCCCTGAACTTTTCCAGTGTCAGTTGTTTTTGGTACAGTGACTCTGTGTATTTCCTCTATTTTCTTTCCATGATTTCTGGGTCATTCAACATATTGTCTGTACCACCTTTCGGTATTGTAACTTGAGGCTTAAGTTTGTTTTTCCATTTTCTCAGCTTGAGAAATGCAGAATGAGTTCTTGTCTTTTTATTCTCCAACTCCAGCTCTCTGCACATTCCATTGTAATACTTTACTTTGTCTTCTCAAGCTTCCCTTTGAAATCTTCTGTTCAGTTCTTTTACTTCTGCATGTTTTTGCTTTGTTTTGGTTTCTTGACACTGTAGCACAATTTTCACTCTCTTATTTTTTTTCCTCCCAGAGTCTCTTCTAACATTCATTTCAATTTTTTTCTTTCTCCTCTGTCTATGTAATGGCCTTTTGCTCTCTTCATGGATGATATATCCTTGATGTCACCCCACAAACCATCTGGTCTTCGATCACTGCACATATCTGGAATACAGGAGATTCCTGCCGTTATCTCCCAGAATCCACCTGCCTGTGATTAAAGTCAGTGGGAAAGTACAGCAGCCCATTTCTGGTATCACTGCTAATTGCACAGCCTCTTCCTGAATGAAAGTTTTGATCCTATCACAAAGCAAAGAATCACAACGACAGGAAGTGCTTTCTAAGGGCATAGAGACACAACAGGTTGTGGGACAAGCTGCTCTAAATACCAGCGTCAACCACAGAACTTGCTGCTCAAAAGAGGACTGTGGTTGTTAGGAGTATTTTTTTCTTTGTATGTTTGCATCATATATTTTTATTTTCTTCACTTACAAGATGTAAATGTGGTTAGGATACTTTTGGTTTTGCACTTGTTAATTGTATCATGTTAAATGCTGGTATAATACTTTAATTGCTTTTACTCAGAGTTTATATGATTTAAGAGATGTGTGTAAGTGCCTAATTGTCAAGGGGTGATGGTTAAAATTGTCAGTTTGGCTAGGCCATGATTCTGTGGTTTAACAGTTACAGTTATGATGTAGCCATGCTCCATGGTGAGACTTGATTCAATGTAATCATTTCTTTGGTGAGAGTTCTTTGAGCAGCCAATCTGTTGAAGGGGCACTTTCTTGGTGGTGTGGCCTGCACTGAATCCATATACATGTGTGACAAGGCTTCCTGGCTCTTTGCTCCACTGAGATCCTGCATCCGACTCCTCATTTTATGACCTTCAGTCCTTTGACTTGAGTCAGTGGCCTTTCATGATATCTGCTGATCTGGGGGTTTGTCTGTTGACTCAGCAGCCTGCCCTCTAACTGCCAGATTTCAATATTTCACCTCTGTGGTGACCGGAGTGAAAAGCCTCTAGCCTGACACCTGACATGCAGACTTGGGCCTTGCTAGTCTCTGCACCCGTCCGCAGCTCCGGGGGAGAAGGATGACAGTCTCCTCCCGTGTGGTTAATGCCTCTGAAGACCCACTGGCGGGTCAGCATTGGTCGGTTACAACTCCATGGGACACAAACAACAGTCTCTGCGGCCATCAGTGGAACTCCACCATCAATGGAAGCAGCAGTCAAGAACTCTTGCATTGGGCAGATCTGCTGTGAAGGATCTCTTTAAAGTGCTAAAAACTGAGGAATGTTAGTTTAAAATATTGGGATGTGTTTGATCCAAGCCACGGTATTTTTTATTACTTTTTATGCATGTGAGAGTTGAACAATGAATGAATGAATGAGGAAGACCAAAGAAGAATTGATGCCTTTGAATTGTGCTGGTGGTGAAGAGCGTTGACTATTCCATGAACTGGCCAAAGGACACACAAATCTGTCTTGGGGGAAGTGAGACCGCTCCGTAGAGGCGAGGATGAGGAATTGTCCCCCAGACTATGGGTATGCTGGGGGTGTCCAGGAGAAGGACACCATACTGGGAAGAGGAAAAGGGAGGGTCAAAGGAGGAGAAGCCTCAACAGGATGGGTTGACACAGCGACCGGACAGTGGACGCAAGCACAGCAGAGATTGTGCACCCGGTGCCGGGGGCTGAGGCTTTAACCAGTTGTTCACAGAGTGGCTGAGCCCGTTGTCTCTATGGCACCCAACAACAACAGCACGTGAGCCGTTCTCTCGAGGTGCAGACCTCTCTGTATATGGTTTTGCTCCTTTGAGAACCTAGCCAAAGATGATGACATTGGTTAGAACCCCTCCGTGTGGCAGCATCCTTCCACATCTTCTCTGGGTATCCCGCTTCCCTTCATCCATCTCTCCTGCCTTCCCCTTTCTCGGAATTTTGCTATCTGGGAAAATGTCCTTTTGATCTCCTGTGACCGTTAAGAAGTACTTTCCCCCTGGTGTTCCTGGCACTTCAAAGGCCTGACTATGGTTTGGCTCACAGTTGACACTCGAGGGTGTTCGGTCTGGGGCCTGACGGGTACTGACAGCCACAGTCCTGTGTCAACAGCAGACTCCCTTCTGAGGCTCCTCGGTGGTCAGACTAGCAGCCTGTCAGTCAGCAGCCAGACACAGCCACTGGGCCACCATAAGGAACTACCCTTGGTCAGCAGGTGGGGACACCAGCAGGCTGGGCAGCTGAGTCCGTCCGCATACCCCCTGCCTCACGCCCTTCTCTGAGTGTGGGAGAAACAGGTCGATTGCAGAAAGGGAGGAAACAGACTTTATTTCTGGCAAGGTGGGGCTGTGCCACCTCTACTCCAGGCTTCTGAGGTTTGGGGACCTGACTGGTGAAGGGTGGGCTGATGAGAGAGCATCACACATGGGCGCCCCTGGAACCACAGGGCAGGCGTGGAGCCAGAGGATGGGAGGGCTTCCTGAGCTGGCCTGCTACCCCATGGCCACAAGCTGCGCCTGGAGCTCCTTGCACCCTGGGCCTTGCTGGGTGAATGTCCCCCCGTGGCCTGTCCTCTGCGAGGTGCACGTGAGCTCCTGGTATGGGTTGGGGCAGGACAGGGTGTTGCAGGACATGTCCTCATAGACCACGACAGCCTCGGGTCGTCCCTTCTTCCAGCAGAGTGTCTTGATCTGTAAGGCAGAGTCCCACTCCTCATGTGGCCCTGGGTCCCCCAGCAGCACCCATTCCAGGAGGGCTGGGCCCGCTCCTCATTTGGACCTGCCATGGGTCCCCAGCAGCACCCACCCTTTTGTCCCCCAGACCTGCCTAAAACCTCTTCACGGGGTCTGAGCCAAGACCATCTGGCCTCTGGCGCTTCCCATCAGCCTGCCTCACTGTCTCCAATCCTTGGTGGACAGGGCAGCATCCCAAAGGCCACATAGACCAGGAGAAGGAGCAGTTCCAGGGCCAGATGAGGAGCCCATGAACTGAGCTTCAGACCTAGGGGGGCTGTTGCTGTTACCTCTTCTGCTCCTACCTGAGGCAAATGACCCAGTGACCACTTCCTGGTCCCCTGCTTCTGTTCCCCTCGTCCCCAACGTACACCCACCCACACACCTTCTCACACTGACACACATGCACCCTTATACTGCATACATATCACACACATGCTTTCACACCCATACACACTCCCTGTACATATAGATGCACACGCTCACATGTACTCTGTGCATGTACACACACGGCACAAATGCTCTCCCACTCACCACACACACTGCACACATGTGCACACACATGCATACGTGACACAAGTATTCTCTGCCACAGCGTACATATACGACAGGCTTGCACACATGACACACATGTGCACACACATGTACTAGCACATGACAGGCTTGCATGCGTGACACATGCACACATAGGTACATGCACATGACAGGCTTGCACACATGCACACACAGGTACACACATGACAGGCTTGCATGTGTGACACGTGCACACATAGGTCCATGCACATGACAGGCTTGCACACGTGCACACACAGGTACACACATGACAGGCTTGCACACACGGCACATGCACACACAGGTACACGCACACATGACAGGCTAGCACATGCCACACTCACACGAATATGTTCACACAACACAAATAGATGCACCCACACACTTTTACACTAATACACATACACACCACACACTGTACACTCTCTCACACACACAGAGACTGCCACGTGCGCACCATGTACAGCTGGCTGCTCTCTGCACCACTGGTGTCACCCTCACCCTGGCATGTCCCCCTGGGTCCTGCCCATGCCACATGTCTCTTGTTCCCCGGGTCCCTTCGCCCTTGGCCCCTGGTGTTCTTATAGCATTTACTGGAAGCCCTCAGGGAAGGCAGAGCTCCCTACAGCCAGCCCCTCAGCATCCTCCCTCCCACGCTCCCGAGAGGATGGGGGAGCAGCTCAGGCTCCACTGACCTGCGTCCTCCTCAGTGTACACAGCACCCCCAGGCCCAGGCCCAGGAGGAAGCAAGCTATGGCCAGAGCTGCAGAGAGGTCGATGGGTCTCAGCTGGCCTGTGGGGCTTGAGTCTGCATGGCCTGGAAGAGAGGCTCGTCAGAGCACTTGGCGAGGAGTGGAGACTCCCCGTGAGCCTTCAGTGTTCAGGGAGGGTTTGTGGCGGTGGGGGAGCCTGGGGGACTTCCTGGAAGAGAGGATTGATTCCAGAAAAAAGCAGAAGGGCAGGTGCCCGGGCAGGGGCCTGATGGACACAGAGGGAGGTCCCACCTGTCACCAGGACCAGGGTCCCACAGCCCAGCTCCTCCCTGTACTCAGTGATGGTCTTGCAGATGTAGACTCCGCTGTCCGCAGGCTGCAGGTGGTGCATAGTGACAGTCAGCTTCTGCTGTGACCCCTTGAAGGTTACACGACTCAGGAACATCTGGTCCACAGTGGATTTCACCCCATCCTGGTAGTACATCACTTTGGCTTCTGGGGGCCCCTCTCGGAACAGGTGGAACCCCTTTGAGAGGCCACTGGAGCAAGTGATGTTGATGGAGCTGCCCTCTGAGGTGACCACATAGCGAGGGGACTGCTGCACCCCTGGAGGAACCCAGCATGTCACCACCCACCTGGCAGAGACCCTCTTCCACCTGGGTCGGGGGCCAGTGTTGGGAGCTTCCGTAAATGCTGGTCATTCCTGGGCTGGAGAGCAGGCCTGCTTCTGAAGCATCTGCCCCACAGAGTCCAGGACCACCATCTACATCCCCTCAGCCTTCTGATTCTCACCCACGCAGTTTTGGGGACCCACTGCTTCTAAGCACCCAGAGAAGTTGGCTCTGTGTCGTGGACACTCGTGTTTGTCCCTGGGACCACCTGTCAGCACCTCTGGCCCTTGGTGATGCGCGCATGGGCCAGCTTCCCAATGGACATGGCCCCTTAGGGCTGGGGTTCGTTTGTGACAGGGCAGTACCTGCCCTCCTCTGGCCCCGTCTGGCCACAAGTCAGCTCTGGGGTAGGCTGAGCTTGGACGCTTCCTGGGAGGCCAGGGACTGTGAGGGTCTGCTGACCCCAGATGTGCAGGGAAGGGAACTCTTGGTCTGCAGCCCAGAGGCCACCATGGCCACTAAGTGTGCTTCTGCCCTTGCTCAAGGTCTAGGTGACCTGGGAGGAGGGCAGGAGGAGATCACAGCCAGCATCCAGGCAGTAAGTGGACTGAGCCCCAGGGTCACTCACCGTGGGCATCCAAGCTTCCAGGCAGGGTGAGGGTGAGCGCCAGGAGCACGGGGATCCAGGGGTGCTGGGGTGCCATGCTCACTGCTGCTGCCCTGGAGGCAGACGGGCCACCTCCCCTCCCACAAGTGGAGTGGGCCTCTTCCTGTCACAGCTGTGTGCTGGGGGGACCGCCCACCGCAAGATGAAAGGTCACTGGCCACATTCCTCTCCATGGGGGTGCTGGGCCCCACAAGGGACATGCCCCCCAGAGCTCAGTGGAGGCTGATGGGAACCCCTGACCTTTGTGGACAGAAGGCCTGGGGAGAGAGCAGCGGCTGGGGCAGTGGGGGTAAGGACTTGCTAGGACCCTAGTCTTATCTCTATGCAGGATGATAGTGATCACCGTGTAAACGTGTGCATGTATGACTGTGTCGCTGTGTGGGAACACGTGTATGTGTGCGCGCACTGGAGGCTACAGAGCACCCAGCCTACTGGTGGACCTACTGTGAACTGTGTGCATGTGTGAACACATGTGCATGTGCACAGGAAGGTTACCCAGCGCACAGCTCACCGTTGGGCCTCCTCTCCATGAAGTGTGGCGTGTATGCACGTGCATACACATGTGTGCACACGTATGTGTACATGTGTTTGTGTGTGTGCATGCAGAGGCAGATTACAGAGCACATGTGTATAAATGACAGGTTATAGCAGTGACCTGTGTGCAGGTGTGCATACATGTATGTTTGCACATAGATGTGGACACATGTGCCCACAAGCCCACAGGAACCTACTGTCCCAGGTCATTGTGCCCATGTGCATGCATGCACACACGAGTATAACATTTATGTGCATGTGCATGTGTTCACATGTGTGCATACGTGCATGCATGCCCAGACAGGTGTGCACACATTGGAGTACACAGCACTGTTCAGAGATCTACAGCTGTGCATTGTCTCCTGGTGGACTGTCCCCCTCAGCTGGCCAGGGAAAGCCTTCATGGTGGGCCCTGTGATGTGCGTGTGCAGGGGTCGCCCTGTCCAGCTTCCCCCGGGGTGCACACTCCCCCCCAGGCAGCAATGCTTCCTCTGAGGTATCTTAAATGCCACAGCATCCTGTCTTTCCTGTTTCAAGTAAAACGATGTCTGTTGTCCCGAAGCCTGGTGGGCCTGAAGCAGCTGTGGGGGTGGGGGTGGGGGCACAGGGGGCTCCTCACCCCACAGCCAGGCTGCACTCAGATGTTCTGAGCATCCAGGTGCCAACTGTGAGGGTGGCCCTCGCACCCAGGATCCTCGTCCTTTCCTTGGATTCTTTAACTAGAGTGGGGCTTTGAGAAGAGTTCAGTCCTCATGGAACTTCTCTTCCATTTTTACCAATCTTCTCCCTTTTCAAAAGCACAGTTGTGTTTGCCCAGTTTGTCAGGGTCAGGTTCCCTGCACACAAGCCACTCAGACACCTCCCTGTGTCCCCAGCTGTCCCAAACAAGGACACAAGGTGCCGTATGGGACCTGAAATGCAGACCCTGGGGAGGTCCAATCACCAGCCTGACGCCCCACTGACGTGAGCCCACCCTGGCCTTCTTGGAGGAAGAGCTGACCCTTGAATGGCTTCCCCTGGAGGCCGTGGTGGCCGGGCCTGCCTGCCCCCTGGTGGTAGCCAGAGGTGAGACGGTCCACTAGGAGGGTCCTGAGCTGTGTGTCCAGCATGGTTCAGCTGAAAGCCCGGCCAGCAGTGATGTCCTCACTGTGTCAGGGGACATGCAGAGCGAGGTGGGAACATGGAAACGGCTCAGGGGCCACAGAGTCAGTGAGGTTCGAAGCACCAGCACAGACACCTGCACACCCATCCAGGCCACGCCTGGGGTGATGGTCAGGAGGAGGAGGAGGGGCTTCCTGAGGGGAGATATGAAGCAGCAGGAGGAAGAGGGGGCTCCTGGAAGGGTGATGAATTGGGGGGGTTCCAAGAGTGTGCAGGCTGAAGTCACCTTACACTCTGGATGGGACCCGATTCTTGTCCAGGCATCTGGTCACCATCAGTCACCTGCGTGGAGCTGAGGATCCTGATGTGACCATGACCAAGGGGCTGGACATGTGCCTGTGTCTGTGGACACCTCACATACATGCATGTGCATGTGTACGTGCGCAAACATGCGTGCATATCTGCACAGGAGGCTACCTTGCACAGGCAAGAACCCACAATCAGAGAATGGTGTGCACACATGGGTGTACATATGAGTAGCGTGTGCGTGCTTGCATGCACATACGTGTGTACTAATCTGTGCGTGGGTGTAGGGTCCATCTAGCTGGTTCTCTCACCTTCTTTCCCTATAGGAAGGATCCCTCTTGGGGCAGAACCTTGTCTTTACGAGTTACCATCCACGACCCCTGTCACCATCCATGACCCCTCACCACTCAGGACCCTGGTCACCCTCCATGATTGTATCATCATCATGACCCCGTCACCATCCATGACCTTCATCTTGGGAATCTTTAAAGTGAACAAGGATTTAAAAATACTCCCTTCCATCCTCAATTAGATTCCTATTCCATTTTAAAAAATACAATTATATTGCCCAACTAATAGCCTTTCCATGTTTGTTTATCTTATTTTTTATCATGATTTGAGCAAAAGTTTGGGTTTTTTAAATTGAAATTTTAATGAAAGTTTATAGAGACTTTGGATATCCATTAATTCATTGTTGCACATGTTCCTACCTGCCCATTCCTCCCTCCAGTTGGTTTTTCTCTTTGAAAAGTAAAAACCAAACTTTCATTGTTATACAATCCTCCTCCCAGTCCACTCCACCATGCAGCTCTCATTCTGGCCTCTTGTCGTGAAAATAATTCCTAATCATATATTCCTTTCAAACAACTCTCTCCTTCATCTGTTTCAATGCAGTTACATTATTTATCCCCTTTTAGACTCTGCAAAACCCCTATGTCAGTCCTGCTTTACAACAGTGGCACTATGCAGTATTTGTCCCTTTGTGACTGAGATATTTCATTCAGCATCATGTCCTCTAGAGTCACTCATTTTGTATAATATTTCATGAATTCCTTGTTTTTCAACACAGCATAGTATTCCATTGTGTGAATACGCCACAGCTTCTCTCTCCATTCATTTGTTGATGGGCACTTGGGTTGTTTCCAACTCCTTGCTATTGTGAACAGAACCACAATAAACATGGGTGTGCATATATCTGCTTGGGTGGCAGTTACAGTCTCTTTGGGGTATATTCCCAGCAGTGGAATTGCTGGGTCAAATGGTATCTCTATTTGCAACTTTTTGCGCACCATACACCTTCCATAGTGGTTGCACCATTTTACACTCCCACCAACAGTGAATAAGGGTTCCAGTTTCTCTACAACTTCGGCAGCATTTGTTGCTTGCTGATCTGTTAAATTTTGCCATTCTTACTGGGGTGAGATGATATCTCATAGTTGTTTTGATTTGCATCTCTCTTAGAGCTAGGAATTTTGAACATTTCATCATGTGCTTGTTTGCCATCTGAATGTCTTCTTTGGTGAAGTTGAGCAAGTTCACAAAGCAAATTAATTCTTAACCATTCGTAAATATTTTGTTCAACAAGAATTTCAAAACTCACTATGTGACCACATTTTCTGTGATTCTCCTTTCCCTTCATGTCAGCTCTTCTCTGCATCTTCCCTTTCTTTGGTGACTTTGTGCTTATTGGATATGGTCGTTCCCTTCAGCCATCAGGGTAGGTGCTTACTTTCCTTGCCTGCCTGCCTGCCTGCCTTCCATGAGGTTTTTATGCTTGGGTTAGTCTTTTGTTAAATAATTTCTACATTTTAAAAGGACAGTTTACATATAGTTACAAGTAACTGTGAAATAGTTAATAGATGACTGATAAAAACAGCTTTGAAAAGGTTTTAAATGCTATTTCAGGAAAGATACACTTTCCTTCGTGGTAAACAGCTTAAGGTACAATTTAATATGACTGAGAAAACCAGCTTCAGATCCTTTTCCAGTTCATAAGCGTGATGATTGGGTGTTCATGCTTCTGTTGACATGTGCTGCCCGCCTTGTTACAATATGGGCACACTACCTGTCTGAACTGAAAACCACACACACACACACACACACACACACACAAAACCAACAGTTTCAAAGAGATAAATGTTAATCTAGGAATGACGCATTTCCCCTACTAGCAAATAGGCAGTTTAAAGTACTTCACATGAATAAAGAAAGGAAGAAAAAGAATTCTAAGGCAAAGTAACTAGTTTTGCAGGCTAGAGAAAATTGATTTCATTTTTATAACTATACTAATGATATGTTTGGATAATTCTGAATTTATTAATACCATCTCATCATTTCCCCCCTCTTCTTAAATCAGTCTTGTATCTATCTATAAGACAAACATTCTGGGTTGATTCTTGGGGAGTAGGGCTTCTTCTGAAAGCGATTGTCTCATTTTTAGTTATTTATTCCCTTTAGGAATAGGGGTGCAGACTCTCTGGCTACTTTTTGCTGAACAGGGGCATTGAGATGAAGGGGAGCCCACCTGAACACTTCATTGGTGGTCTTGAGTTTCGTGAGAAGCTGCACGCATTCTTGTTCAGTTACAAGACATTTTCATGATGTTTTCTGCCCTCTGGATTGCACAGTGTTTGCGTGGGTGAATCTAGTGAGTGTGGCTGGCTAAACTTTGAGGCTTCAGCCATCTTTGATGCTTTAGCTGGTGGTCATATTTTTCTTTTGTCTTTGGAACAGGGCTCAGGGTTCAAGTCCTGGAACAAGACTTAGTGTACAGGTTACCTATAGGAAAAGGAGCCAACCAGGTGAATCTGAATGTTCCTTCATGGTCGCCAAAATGTTACTGAAAGCAAGGGGCTCTTTCCGCAGTCATTTGCCAATAAGACAAATGGACTGCAGTGTCCAAAGCAATTTATTTCAGATCTGGGAAAGCAGATTCTTTTTAAGAACTGCTTCTGTAATATGTGTTTTTAATCTGCTTATTATTTTACTCCTCTCTCTTCCCATTCTTGGTCACCACTCAAGAATTTTTCTAGCTTTGTGTAAATCGTTAGCTTTTTATAACAGTGATGTTATACAGTATTTGTCCTTTTGTGACTGATTTCTTTCACTTGGCACAATATCTTTTAGGTGCATCATGCTATTTAGTGTTCCTCAAATTCTTCATTGTTGTTAATGTTTCCTAGGGCTTCACAGTGTGCATGAGCCCTGGTTGCTTTATGTTTTTGTCTGCTTGTGGGGACGTGGGCTGTTTCCATCTCTTCACGGTTGTAAATGATGCTGCATTTAATAGTTCTTGTTGCAGCTCTGATTTCTTTGGGATGTATACCTAGGAGGAGGGTTGCCAGAGAGCTCTGGTGGCTCAGTGGTAAGGAGCTGCCAATCCAAAGGCATGCGGTGTCAACCCATCAGCTGCTCTGCAGAAGGATGGACAATTTCCTTCCAGGCAATTTACAATCTCTGAAAATGGGCCGTTCCAACCTGAAAGAACACAACAACAGTAGGACTGCTGGTCAAGTGTTTCTAGTACCCACTTTCCAAGACGACCAGGCTGCTGTGCGTGGGAGTGGCCCCTGTTGACACTCCCGCCCATGGTGTGAGTCTCACCCCTCCACACCACCACCAGCACAGCTGTTTGCTGTGTTGCTGAACTTTGCTATTGTTTCTAGGGTGAAAGTCCACAGTCCTTTCTTAGTACGTGACCTTGTTCTAATTTTCTTAGGCCTCAGTAGGGACTTGCTTTTGCACAGCTGCTGGTCAGTTCTGGAGCAGCCCCTGGCCTTGCTCTGACTGATGAGTCTGGACCGCTCCTTCTCCTCCCACAGATGGCGCCAATTTTTCCTGTGTATTCCATCTGCTGAGGTTTACTTAGGTTGCTGAAAGGTCTGTATTTATTTCAAGGCTGTTTTATGAAACAGAGAGAGCCAGGCAGTGGGGAAGGGTCTTGTTAGGACCCTCAGCTGGTGGGAAGACCTGAGGAACCTGGATGTGGCCTGGGATGGAGTGCCCTCTGCCCACTGCTAGGAAACTGGCTGTCCTCTGTTTGCAGATGGTCAGCTTTCTCACTGCCTATTCAGGTGGTGCATCCCTGATGGCTGACCAGGGAGGGGACAGCAGGGCTCCGGGTGCAGGGCGTGTGGCTGGGGGCTCCTCCTAGTGGTCTAAAAGGCTGAAACTTTTCTTCTGGAAAGGAGGGATGGAGGGAGGCATAAGAGCAGTGCACAGACACACAAGTGTGCACACATAATAGGTAACACACTGTTCACACAACACACACTCACCCAAGTGCTCACAGAGGGACACACACACTCTCACACTTGGGACCCAGCCCTCTCCTCAGCTCACAGGAAGTTGATTCATTGCCCCTTCCCTGGCGTTATGGCTCAGGAAAGCCGGTTTGTCCCTAAGGACAGTCCCAGGACATGGGAGCAGGAACTGGGGACCGTCTCCTGCAGGTGTGTGAGGGACACTCTGAGGGCTTAGGGCGCAGGGGTTGGCAGGTGTCCTGGGTAGGGAATTCAGAGGCTAGTGAAGCTAGCACCCCTGGACTCTGCACATCTGTGAGACACATGTGGGAAGGGCTCCTCCAACTGGGGTCACAGTGGCCCCAGCCCCCTCATACCTGCCTCTGGGCCTTGTGCAGTGCCAGTACCAGATGATGCATCCCAGGAGGATGACGACAGCGAGCAGGAACAAGGCAGTGGGGCCACTGACCACGGACTTGGACTGCGGCAGTGACTCCAGTGAGGAGTCCAGGGCTGAAGGAGATGGTGAACAAAGTGAGGAGCTGACCCCATCCACCCGCCAGAGGTGGGGAGACCCTGACCACAGGGTGACAGAGGCTCCACCATCTGGGAATGCTGAGGGGAGGTCTTCACTGTCACCCTGGGGTTTGGACCAGAAGCAGGTGATGGGGAATCACTGGAGGAACCATGGGGAGAGGCCATGGAGGGGTCTCCCAGGATAGCCCTGTCCCCTGCACGTGTGGCCCCAAATGACCTCATTTGTCCAAGGAGAGTGTGGGCAATAGCACAGGAAGGGGATTCTTATGAGGTGATGGTCAGGAGGAGGAGGAGGGGGCTCGTGGGGAGGTAATGTTCAGGAGGAGGGAGTTTTAGGGAGGATGGTCAGGAGGTGGAGGAGGGGGTCCTGGGGGGATGGTTGGAGGAGGAGGTGGGGGGTCCTGGGGGGATAGTCAGGGGGGCATCTGGGAGGATGATGGTCAGGAGGAGGTGGAGGGCGTTCTGGGAGGGATGGTCTGGGTTCTATCCTGGGCAGATGTGAGATTGCACAGTGGGAGGTTTGGGGGGGGGGGATACAGGAGTTCTGGGGCTTCTCTGTGAATGGAATAAGCAGAGGTAAGGATGGGAGAGAATGGAATGGGTAGAGGAGGTGAGCACTGGCCACTGGTCCTGGGGTCTCTTAGGGGTTTGTGTAGCTGAGGGGTGGACTCACCCAGGATATGATGGGAATTGTAGGAGTGGTTGTAGGTTGGGGTGGAGTAGGGGAGGAATGTGGGGAGCAGTGGAGGGCATGGGGAAGAATGGGGACAATGGGCACAGCAAGGGGAGAAGTGTGTGGAAGGTTCTAGGCTGGAGAGGGTGGGGCTGGAGAGGCAGTTATGCCTGGTTTGTAGGAAGGGTCAGGCTGAAAGCGACGGGGCGTGCCTCCAGGTGGACGGTGTCACAGCTGCCAGGTGGAGGCTGGACTAGGCACCTGGAGTGTCCTCTACGGGCCCCTCGGAGCCACATTCAGCAGGTGTGGATGTTGAGAGGACAGGGAGGATTGAGGTTTGGGGAGGTTGAAGGGCCACCATGGTTTCGGGTAAAACAGACCCATGTCTGGGTGAGCTGTAGATTTGGAGTGGAGTGGGCTGTGGCTCTTAGCT